ATTCCTGCTGACTGGAGTTGGAAAGATTTCATGTGCAAGATGACAGCTGTACCTAATCTTGAAGGTGGAGTAGAATTGTAGCAGTTTGTACTTGGGACTGAAGATACTCCAAAGTGAGGTGACTATCTATATGATCAAAGACAGGAAGTGGGGCAGCTGGGGCTCAGAAGGAAAGCATAGTGATTCTAGAGAATGGTGAATCATCCTAGGGAGTAGATACATTTAAAAAGATTTGGGATTCTTTGCTCAAGAGTATCTTGACATCATTTTATTTGTTTAAGAGTCATGAGAGGCTTTGACCTGTGCTTTAAGAAGATTGTTGCTATGGCAATGAATCAGATAAAGGAGAATTTGGAAGAAGGGGGACCTCTTAGGAAGATTTTGCAATAGCTAGGCAAAAGAAAATAGATTACAACAATAGGATCAAAATTTCCTATGAATTAACGAATAAAGAATGATAGGGGAAGGAAGAGGTCAAAGCTGATTCTGAGATTTAAAGTCTAGACAATTGGAACAATAGCAGTATCATTTGTAAACATAATGAAAATGAAGCAGGTTGTTAGAAAAGATTATAATTATAGTTTGAACATATTGAGTTTGAATTTTATATGGCAGGAAGGACGGCCAGCTGGAAATGTCAACTTGAGATAGTTTGAACTATAAATGTATATTTGGGAATCATCTGCATGGAAGTGATAGTTGAAATCCTGGGAGTGAATCAGCTCAAAGTGTGGAAAGACAAGACTATTTACAGCAATACCTAGAGGAATATATATGTGCTTATATCAGTGGAAGAAGGGGAAAGAGCAAAGAGAAGGCAGCCATAGTGAGAGGAGTAGAGCAGAAAAAATGGAATTGAGATTTCTTGCAGCTATTAAAATCTAGGAAATTTTGTAATAAGTTATTTGACTGTGTTTCCTGAAAGCATTCCTATTGCTTTTGATAGCAAGAGTAACCAGATGGCCTTACCATCTTTAATATGTAAAATGCTATGTTAACAGAAACAATACGTTAAAATTACCTATACTAAATAATAGAAATGTTAAGTGAAACAATGGTTTCAAGTCCTATTTCCTCTCTACTGTTAACACTTCAAACTGGCTCTATCATCATGATGGTTGACATCTTCTTGTAGTTCTTGGTTAAGCTGAGATTGGTGTAATTTCATGCATACAGTAGTTTGATTGAGAGAGAACTAGAAAGATCACCTACTTAAGCAGATCAGTTAATAAAAATCAATGAGATTCTGATTAATCTGATCATAATTAAAAAAAAATCTGATCATAATTAGAATGGCTCTTAGAAATTTCCTCTCTTGGTGCATAAAAAAGATAACTGTAATATCTGTGCTTTACTTTCCCAGAATGTTAAATAAAGAGGTGTTGGGGTGCCTGAGAGGCTCAGGCAGTTAAGTGTCCTCTGCCTTCAGCTCAGGTCATGATCCTTGGGCTCTGGGATAGAGTCCTGCATCTGGCTTCCTGCTCATCAGGGAGCCTACTTCTCCCTTTCCCTCTGCCTACAGCTCCCCCTGCTTGTGCTTGCTCTCTCTGTCAAATAAATAAATAAAATCTTAAAAAAAAAATGCCTTCTCATACATCTGGTCACTGAAAAAATAAAAGAAAGAACTTTTATTTTTGTTTAAGATTTTTATTTACTCATGAGAGACAGACAGAGAGAGGCAGAAACATAGGCAGAGGGAGAGGCAGGCTCCCCACAAGGAGCCCAATGTGGGACCCGAGATCACACCCTGAAACGAAGGCAGATGCTCAACTACTGAGCCACCCAGGCATCCCAAAAGAAAGAACTTTTTAAAGAGTTGTTCCAACATCTGAGAGTTTGGTTCTACCATTAGTGGTCACATTTTGGTGTCTTCCTTTCTTTGGAAAGCACTAAATTAGTCAGTCAGAGCTTCTTTTTTCACCAAACCCATAGGAATAGATACATTGCCAAGAATCCCAAAGGCCCCATTTTGCACATAAAGTATCAAGACTATCTTCTAGTTAAAGCTTTGTTTGCAAAAGTATTTTTCACTAATACTGAAGAAATTCATGGCCTTTGAAGTTTCCAAAAGACCCTCAAATATAGGAATTCAAGTGCTAGTAATGTATTACCTATAGTAATAATAATTGCGATTAACATTTACAGAGTTGTTTCTGTGTGTCATACATGGTGCCAAGTATTTACACACAACAGTATTTATTGAGTGCCTGCTATATGCCAGGATCTGTTCTGAATGCTTGGGATAAGTTAGTAAAACAAACTAAGATCCATATCTTCATACCCCTTTTATTTAGTGAGAATGGGCAAAGTAATAAGCATTAAGTTTAACCGATAAGCATATTTTGGTAACGACCAAAATATATGGACCATAAGAAGATGATAGGTACTATGGAAAAAACAGAGCAAGGTAAGGTAGTCAGGAGTGTGGAGTTGAGGTTGAATGATGAAGGTGAGTTACATATTAAATAGGGTAGCTAGAATAGGCATAACAAAAATGGTTGCATTGGAGTTAACCATGAAGATATGTGACAGGAGAGCATCCAGGCAAATGGAGCAATCTGTACAAAGGCTTTAAGGTGGGACCATGTCTTGGGTATCTAAAGAACAGCAGAGAGGTTAATACAATTCAAAGTGGTCAGGGGAGAGGTGGTAATGAGCAATAATGGGTAGGAGGAGTAGGAGGCAGTCCTCTTACTACAGTGATACTATGAAATAGGTACCATTACAATCTCCATTTTATAGTTGAGGAAGCAGAGACCTAGAGAAGTAAAGTAACTGCCACATCGGGAGCCAGCTATAGCAAGAAACAAGCTTTTACATTCGTTTATATCCTGAAGGGTCTGAAATTATTTAACTGCTTATTTCTTTATGACCTCTGCAAAATATTAGATGAAAGATCAGCTGTTCTGAAGTGGATGATTTATTGTACAATGGTTCTACTTCAGTATTCTTTATCTGCAACCAATATGACCATTTACAGGGCTTGTAATTTTATCAAAGTTTCTTCAATTACAAATGACTTCTTTTGCTTGGCAGTGCAGTAAGCATCCTTGTAAGATATTTTTAATTCATGGGTTTTTATGCTAGGGAAATCCAATGCTTAGTTTAGTTCTTTTAGCCTTTTCATTTTGAACCTTCTTAGAAACAAGGGTATATTCATAATCATAATGACATGGTATATTTTCCCTATTTCTTAAGCACAGAAAGCCATTATAGATTATAACATGGTGGTAATGACTTTTGTACATTACCTGTGTACGTGCTTCTGATGACTGGAATGAATCAGTGTAATGATAGTTGCAGATTACCTGTGCCGTGTACTTATTACTCATACTTGGAATGAATCAGTGCTCTAATAATATAATTTGATAAATAAAAACTTTTTTTAAAAACAATCCTTTAAATAATAGAAAGTCTAAGGAAAAAAATATGTTTGTGCCCAGTGCATTGATCCCCTGCCTCATCCATATACATGTTCCACTCTACTTCCAGGTTAAGTGACTAGAACAATCTGAAAATCACAGTGGAAAGTCACCATTAGATGAAAAGATATTTAATAGTTTGTTTTTATATATGTCAAATTGATGTGGTTAAAAGATCTATTATTATAAAGTAAATACCCTACTACATTGGGAATTCCATTTTTACCTACTTCTTTATATTAGGTAGATTTGATCCAAATTTATTGAATTTTATGGCCTGTGAATTTTTCAGCATTTATTTTGTATAGGTGATTACTTAAAGAACAGCACTTTGCAAGATTCACTTTTTGTTTATGTAACAGTTGGTTAATCCGACAGTTAAAAAATTTAATAAAAAAATAAGAAATTACATCCTTGGTGTTTCTTAGTAGTTTTTATTACAGGAGCAGTGAATGCATAATCATAATTACGTGGAGTTGATGATTTTAATTGTTTGGCACTAACATGCTTTTGTCAAGTGGGGGCATCATTGGTCTTTCTTAAGTAAGCTGTGTGTCAAGAATGGTTTTGCTTGTTAAACTTAAGTGATATTAGGGGTAAATAATCATTTCCCCTTTCACTTTATTTTAGAGGGCTTCTATTTTATGTTTATAGCCAGCACTTTTAACTGATAGCAAAATTTTAAATCCAGAAACATTTAGTAGTTTTCTTAATGGTTTTCAGTTGTACCAGCCTCTAATGTTATCATCACAAAATGTGATCATTACTCAATAAAGAAAGTGACATGTTTGTAAGAATAATAAAAGTTTAGGATAAAAATCTTATGTAGTTTTTGGGGTTTTTTGTCATCGTTGTTTTAAGTACATGAACAAGGGGAAAAACAAAGAATATGCTTAAGATTTAACATACACACAACACATACCCCTAACTGACCTACAAAAGTAGCTTTCAGTGATAATTAAAAGATACTTTGAGCAAATCTAAATTGTGTGCTATTGCTACCAATACCTGACTATTGCTAAGAGCTCTAAATCTATTTTGCCATCATTAAATTTATGTAAGAAATATCTGAGTGTGATTATCATTGTGCTTTCTAAAATGCATGATTACTGCATTTAAAAAACTTACTAGGTTTTTTATCTTTCCACTGCTAACAGTTTGTGCTACAGTTAGACTTCATGATACATTATTTTTAATCTAGTCAAAAAGGAACTATATTTGTACATTTTTGTACTGGGGGAAATTTCTTAGGGTGTAAGAGTTACACAAATATTCAGACTTAAGTATTTAAATACTTTAATATAATGTTTCCATCAATATAGCTCTTGGCTTGTTCTTATGTATGAGTTTAAAATCTTGCATATCTACATCCTTGTCAGGCAAATGCCATAGGCTAAAACTGAAGATAATAACTTAAGATTCATGTCTCCTTCTTGGAAGTTACAGTTGTCTTGAATTGACAGTTTTGAAGGACCTAAACTGACATCAAAGAGTTTAAATGATCTAGTTAGGTCAATTAATGTTAATTTTCATCTTCCATTAAATTATTTTAATGTTTTCTCTTTTCTTTTTTTCTAGCCGAGTCCTATACCAAGTCCTGTTTTGGGGCGAAAGCCAAATGCTAGTCAGTCATTGCTGGTATGGTGCAAAGAAGTTACAAAAAACTACCGGGGAGTGAAAATCACCAATTTTACTACATCGTGGAGAAATGGTTTATCTTTTTGTGCAATATTACATCACTTTAGACCAGATTTGATGTAAGTAGAAATGTTTTCCATTCCCTATAAATATTTTGTAAATAATAGTTTAAAAAAAAAACATAATTTCTTAACGTATGTCCTGAAATCGTTGACTTTATGTTTCTTTATTACCCACACCTTTTGCTTTTTGAGAAAAGATATGTGTACCAGAAAGAAAAGTTCTCCCTTCTTGATGCCTAAAATCAATCTTTTCTCTTTAAAAAAAGCAAAACAAAAAAAACACTTTTTTCTTCTTAATCTCATAACAGAACTAACTTCAAATTATTATGAAAATTGTGTGGCTGTTAAAATGAGATGAGACAAATAAGCTGGTAGCTCTTTGTACATTGACAACAAGGGATTACCTCATGGTAAATTTGGTTGTCAAGCCTGGTCCCTGGTGCCTTGCCTTAACTTCTCTTTTAGATGGAAAGCTTCAGGCAATGAAACATGTAATCACTGTTTCTGTCATTTATTTATTTATTTATTTCCTTAATTTTCCACACTATTAGTTTTGTTGATTGAATTGCTGTGAAATTGCTAGTTACTCTTTGGTATTATAGAATGTCACATTTTTAGATTCAGTTTGTTTTAAAAACAGCTGTTTTTTTTTTTTTTAATCAAATACTGTATGTACCTACTGTGCCATTTTCTCCCTCAGTGACTACAAGTCTCTGAATCCTCAAGATATTAAGGAGAACAACAAAAAGGTAAGAATTGCCCAGGAGAAAAATATGTACTTTCAAATTTGACTCCTCTCTGGCTTTTGTTTATTTGGGGAAACTCAGGTTGTTTTGTGAGGTCATAACTGCAGCTCACAGAAGGTAGTCTTCTTCCTGCAGTTCAAATAGGATGCATGGTTTACTTTGAGTTGTCATAGCCTTTAAAGATCACAAGTGCCAGACTGGCATCCGATTTTAATATGTGTATGGACTTCGTTAACTGTTAAATTTTTGTTGAAGTATACTGCTTTTATTCAAGATTTAGCTTTTAAAAAGTACACCCAACGCTGTTACACCATAAATGATTATGAGTTTAGAAAAATCTGTTGAGAGGGGATCAGGGCAGGAGCCTAATGAGTTATAAAAGAAAAGGATGCATATGTTCCTAGAAGCAAAAAGATATGAACATTGGATTTTTTTTTCATTTTCTGGTAAACTGTACAGTTTTTCCACATAATTAATTAGTATACTGAGGTCAGAGCTTCCCAGTGGGGATATTGATCCTTTGGCCTTCAGGGTAGCTATGTGAGGCTGAGCTTTCAGAAGTGCTTGGGCCAGCTGACTGTGGCCACAGGCTAACTTAACTATTTACCCCAGTGCACGGTACAACATTATAATTATGAATGTGTACTGTGATACAAGAAAAGAGCAAAACACTAACTCAACATGTAGTGGGTACTCAGTATGTTTTGTGCTGCATTGAATTCTTCAACTGAGAAGCTAATGAAATATGTTGTTATCTTAGAATAGGAATTCTTAATCTGGGTCATATGGATAGAATTCAGGGGGTTCTTGAACATGACAATCGGGTGAGAATATATTTTATTTTGTTTTATTAATTCTTTAAATGAAATTCAGCATTTCCTTCAGTTATGAATTTAGGCAGCACACCACTTTAGCATTAGCCATGCCTGAGACTTTATCACCTTGAGAATCTTAGATATTTTGATATCACATTGCAGTTGTAATAGCTACAAATATCTTTTAAACTCATCACTTCTTCAAAATTACAGTTGTTAATACAGTCACAAAAAGCACATGTATTGCTGTTTCTCAAATTCAGTTTTACTAATATTTTCATAGTTTTTCATATAATTGGTTTCTTCTTTAATCCTATGTATTTTATAACCATAAAAGCATTATTCTGAGAAGAGGTTCATTACCAAAAGGATTCATGGAACAACGTGATTAATAACCTCTGGTCTGGACTAAAGTTTTCAATCTACTTTAAATTAGATAATTAAACCACCAGTGTTAAAAAATCTATAAAGGGAACCTTGATAGAAGTTCAGCTAGCAGATGAGAATTTAAGTCAATGATTTTTTACTTTTATTGCTCTCTAAATCCAAAAATTTGTATTGTCATTAAAAATGCTTTTTTCTTTACAAATTCATATGCTGGCCTAGAGAAATACATTTTAAAACTGTCAGTTTTTTTTTTAATTGAAGTATGCCACCAAAAAAGGTAAATCTTAAAATTTTAGTGTATTTTTTTATAGAAATCACATCTGTGGTGGACATGTTAAGAGTAAATCATTTCTCATGAATTATTTTTTGTATAATTTTGTAGAACTTGTGTCTCTCAAAGTGAAAGCCTGTTTTTTATCAATTAAATTATATCTTTAGATATATTTCTATGCCTGCATTTTTTTTGCATTTGAATAAAATACTAAGTTAATTTAAACACAGATAAAAGCATTATAAAATAAACCATTATTATTTTTATAAAATGAAGTTTTGTTTTGTTTTGTTTTAAATATTCATAAGAGACACAGAAAGGCAGAGGGAGAAGCAGACTCCCTGCGGGGAGCCCGATGTGGGACTTGATTCTGGGACCCTGGGATCACACCTTGAGCCAAAGGCAGACACTCAACCACTAAGCCACCTAGGCATCCCTAAAGTAAAGTTTTTTAAAATACTGTTTGAAATTCTGAAAAAGACTTGTTGATTGTACCCAGCTATGTATTTTTAAGAGTACAGAGATTTGCCTAAAGGCGTAAGTCACATTTCTTTCCATTACTTTTTCAGGAAATTAATAATGATGATCATACCTTGGGTTTACATATTGCTACATAGGGAATATCCTATTAATATTTTTCTCAATTAGATCTTGTAGGGCAGGTAATCATGTCTTTTTGAAAAGGTTTTAATTTAGATGATCCTATTCATTGTACAATTGAATAAATAATTGTTAATACAGTCTTTCCTTTTCATCACTTTCCAACTTCCTACCTGATATCTACATTGAGTATCAGTTGCTACCTGCGGATTTATTTCCGGCTTCACACAGTTCTTCCTGATAACCCCATCTGCCCTTGATTGAACTTAAAGCAGCACAAGAAACAAAGCCTGTGTCTTAAGTTCCATGCAGATGCATAACATAACTGGCAAGGACTCCTCCTTGCCAATTAAATAATATCTAGGAATGAATAAGACAATTTTCTTTGAAAGACCTCTTCTTTTTCTCCACATACAAACAGCTAAAAAGGTGATTGACCACAGCAGAAGTTAACCTATGGGAAAATTCCTTTATAAAGTCCTGACCTCCCTTGTAAAAAACCCGGTTTGTTTTTAAATGTTTTTTTAGTGCAGTTAGTGTGCATAAAATGAATTGCTACATGAAGCAAAACACAGGAGATTCCCCACGAGGAAGCTAATCATTTTCCCAGGTCTGTAAAAAGGACTGAATAAAAAAGGTATTTACCTGTGACATATGATCTTAACCAGTATGTCAGTGTTTTAGATAATTGGGAAATGTTTAGAATACTGCCTGTGGTGCTTTTCATGATGGTCTGCAATTGATGTCTGTCAATCAGGTTGTCAAGGCACATGAGGAGGAAAATGACTTTAATTTTCCTAAAACATGTAAAATAACAAACAGGCCTAAACATGCACACCAACTGAGCCATTCACTTGAGTAAATATTTTGAGGTACCTATATTATGAAACATAGTGCTGTGAAAATTGAAGAGGTTTTAATATTGCAATTTATTTTTCATTTTCTTTCTTACTTATTCCACAACATTTATTAAACTACAGGAAGAATATGAGACAAGGATTAAATTCAAAGGTAGAAATGCACTTTAACATGTAAGTGCAAAAGACTAATTCCTTCTAAATTGTTACATAACTTCCTAACCTTTGTCTTAAGAAAAGCTTTGCATTATGATGCTACATCTAGGTTGTTGTAAAGTCTAGACATTTTATATTCCAAAGTCAGTATACAGCTAGAGGGTCCTTACCTTTCCCAAGAGTATATCTGAACCTTTAACCATATTTTTAATGCTTCCTAGCAACACAGTGCTGTTTTCAAGGGTTAGTTCAGGATGGTAATAATTAATTGTAAATTGAGAAACAGCTTTGATTCTTCAAAACTAGAAAAACCTGATGTGCCACAGTCATTTAAAGGCTAACAAAAATAATACAATGCAGCCTCACATTCTCAACTATGTTGTACTACTCAAAACATTTCATTCTTTCCAAAATGGATGTAGTGAAAATGCAATCACTCCACTCATTATGAAAATCGGTCTTAATTGGGCATTTAAAAAATGTTTGTATATTCCTGGACTTTAATAACACTTATACTTTATACCAGGTAATCTAGGAGTTAGTTCTTTGGGGATATGTAGCTATGTTTTTTCTTCACAAATCACTGCAATTATATGAACATGGTAAAAAGAGGTTGATAGGAATGATAAACTCTAGATTGTTATTTCTTTATACCTTAGTTCCGTATAAAAATTGATTCTAAGATTTCTTTTTGTTTTAATTCTAATTTTTGCTTATTTTCTTTATTGGAAAAGAATATTTCAATTGCTATTAATTAAGAAACTTTTTTTTTCTTGCACTTACCCCACTTTTAGAAATTTCTCATGTGAAATTTTGTCTGTTCTTGTGGCAATAATGTCAGTAACATAGTATGCCCTCCAACAACAACAACAAAATCCATTAAAATTTTGCTTTCTTTTAATGGTAACTAAACTTTATTTTTATAACGTTTTAATTAAAGTATAAATGACATATAACATCATATTGTTATAGGTGTACAACATAATGATTCAATATATTGTGAAATGTTCATCACAGTCTATCTAGATGATATCCTTTTGCTGTTTTTAAAATGTATGGATTGTTTGAATTATTCAATATATCTTTGTTTTTCCTTTCTTTGAAGGCATATGATGGATTTGCCAGCATAGGAATTTCCCGGTTATTGGAACCTTCTGACATGGTCTTACTGGCAATTCCTGACAAACTGACTGTTATGACTTATCTCTATCAAATCAGAGCACATTTCAGTGGCCAAGAACTGAATGTTGTCCAGATAGAGGAGAACAGCAGTAAAAGCACATACAAAGTTGGAAATTATGAAACAGATACAAACAGTTCTGTTGATCAGGAAAAGTTCTACGCAGAGCTTAGTGATCTGAAACGGGAGCCTGAACTACAGCAGCCTACCAGTGGAGCAATAGACTTCTTATCGCAAGATGACTCTGTATTTGTAAATGATAGTGGGGTTGGAGAGTCAGAAAGTGAACATCAGACTCCTGATGATCATCTTAGTCCAAGCACAGCCTCCCCGTACTGTCGCAGGACTAAAAGTGACACAGAACCCCAAAAGTCCCAGCAGAGCTCTGGAAGGACTTCAGGATCTGATGACCCTGGAATATATTACAATACAGATTCAACCCACGCACAAGTTTTGTTAGGCAAGAAGAGACTACTGAAAGCTGAGACTTTAGAATTAAGTGACTTCTATGTTAGTGATAAGAAGAAGGATGTGTCTCCACCCTTTATTTGTGAGGAGACAGAGGAACAAAAGCTTCAGACTCTAGACATTAGTAAAAACTTGGAGAAGGAAAAATTAGAGAATTCCAGATCCTTAGAATGCAGATCAGATCCTGAATCTCCTATCAAAAAACCAAGTTTATCTCCCACTTCCAAACTTGGATACTCATACAATAGAGATGCAGACCTTACAAAGAAAAAACGAACTTCCCTGAGGCAGACAGAGTCTGATCCAGATACTGACAGAACCACTTTAAATCATGCAGATCATTCCACTAAAACAGTCCAGGTAAGTGAATTAGAATGACGAATACCTATATTCAGTAAATAGTTATTCTGAATATTTTGGGGGTTTTTATATTTTATAGAGCACTTTCAAATGCTACAAATGGTTAAAGGTAAAGTATAATTACCCATTATAGGAAAACCTAAACTATACCTGCACTTCATTTAAAGTTTATGTTATAATATTTTAAGCCTACAAATAAATCCAAATTTGAACATTCTAGAATAAAGAATGTCAATTTTTAAAATCCAAATATTATTTACCTATAAAAACAGAACATTTCACTGTAAGAATAAGGTCAGAGATATTTCACTATTCCATTTAGTAGGAATACTTTCTGAAAATGTGTAGTGCTAAATTATATATTTCCCATTTAGAATATTTTCTTCAAATATTTTAGTTATATTAGTCTTTTCAGTCCCATCATTACTTGTGTTTAAAAATTCCAGTAATATCCAGATTCCTCCCCACAAAAGGAAAATGACACAGATTTTTATACAAATATTTACTATATTTAATTGAATCTCTGGCACCATAAATTATAAGACATACCATTATTTTAGGTACCAAAAAGAAAGAAAAACACTGCCAGTAAATTATGATAAATGGTTTTCTTATCACATAGAATTTTTATTTTATTTTTTTTTTTAAGATTTTATTTATTTATTCCTGAGAGACAGAGAAAAAGAGAGAGGCAGAGGGAGAAGCAGGTTCCATGCAGGAAGCCCGATGTGGGACCCAATCCGGGATCCCAGGATCATGCCCTGAGCCAAAGGCAGACAGACTCCCAACCACTGAGCCATCCAAGCATCCCTAGAATTTTTATTTTATACGTATTGAACAAATTCTTTTAGACTTATTCAAGCATGGATTTTTTTAATCATATAACACTCTTATGTATGCATAAAAAAGGAGTTTAAGTAAAATTGTTTAAGGTATAATTCTTTAGAATTAGAATTTAAAAACCAGCTCTTCTGATCACTTTTTGATTTGGAATTGTTGGTATTCCTGGTTTTTCCAGGCAGTGTTGTCCTCTGTGCCATCAAAAGCATGATGTTACAGCAGTGGTCCTCAGTATGATCTGGGGACGTCTGAGGCTCTCCTAACCTCTTTCAGAGAGCCCCCAAAGTTGAAGCTACTTTCATAGTAATAATAGAACCTTATTTATCTTCTTCACTTTTGTTCTCTCACAAATGTACAGTGGTGTTTTCTGAGATCTCAAAAGATTGAATACAAAAGTAAATATGACAGGCGCCTGGGTGACACAGTCTGTTAAGGGTCTGCCTTTGGCTCATGTCATGATCCCAGGGTTCTGAGACAAAGCTCCACGTCAGGCTCTCTGCTTAGTGAGGAGCCTGTTTCTCCCTGTCCCTCTGCCTACTGTCTACTTGTGCTTTTTCTCTCTCTGTCAAATGAATAAAATCTTTTAAAAAAAAGTTGATGTGAGAATCCAGTTGCCTGCTATTAAGCCAGATATTAAAGAGATTTCCAAAAAAACACAAAATAATGCCATTCTCACTTATTTTTTAAAGTATTTTTGTTAGAATATGTTAACATGGGCAGTCCAGGTGGCTCAGCAGTTTAGCGCCGCCTTCAGCCCAGGGCGTGATCCTGGAGACCCAGATCGAGTCCCACGTCAGGTTCCCTGCATGGAGCCAGCTTCTCCCTCTGCCTGTGTCTTTGCTTCTTTCTCTCTGTGTGTGTTTCTCGTGAATAAATAAATAAAATCTTAAAAACAACAAAAAAAAGAATATGTTAACTTCTCATGGATTTATAGGGTTTTTTTTAAAAGATATTTATTTATTTATTTATTTATTTATTTATTTATTTATTTGAGAGAGAGTACAATTCAGGGTGGGGGGAAGAGTAGAGGGAGAGGGAAAAGCAAACTCCTTGCTGAGCCCAGAGCCTGATGCAGGCCTCAATCCCAGGACCCCAAGATCATGACCTGAGCTGAAGGCAGCTGCTTAACTGACTGAACCACCCAGCTGCCCCTATTATAGTATTTCTAAATGAATGGATAAACAATTTTCAACATTTCTGTGTTTTAATTTCCAAAGTGATAAGTAGGTATAACCGACATAAACAAGAGCCTTTTGAGATCCTCAGTAATTTTTAAGCACCTGTGGGAGTTCTGAGACCAAAAAATTTGAGAACCTCTGAATTACATTTTTTACTGTAGTCTCTGGTGTTCTCAGTAATACTCATTGATAGTAACATCTTCTTGACCTTATCAGAAGGTCCTGGGGTCCCTGGGTGGCTCCGTCAGTTGGGCGTCTGCCTTTGGCTTGAGTCATGATCTCAGGGTCCTGGGATCAAGCCCCATGTCTGGCTCTCTGCTTGGTGGGGAGTCTGTTTCTCCCTTTCGCTCTGTGCGCTCTCTCTCTCTCTCTCTCTCTCTCAAATAAATAAATAAGTAAATAAAATCTTTCTCTCTCTCTCTCAAATAAATAAATAAATAAAATCTTTTGAAAAAGGAAGGTCTCAAGATAAGATTTTCAGACAATAACCTGGAGTTATATTCCATTTTCAATTACTACTCAAATGGTTGTTAACTGAAACATCAGTTACCCTGGATGGGACTAGAGGATATTATGCTAAGCGAAATAAGTCAATCAGAGGAAAACAATTATCATACGATCTCACTCATATGTGGAATTTAAGAAACAGAACAGTGGAACATAAGGGAAGAAAGGCAAAAATAAAATGAAATCAGAGAGGGAGACAAACCATAAGAGACTCTTAATCATAGGAAACAAATCGAGGGTTGCTGGAGAGGAGGAGGGTAGAAGGATGGGGTAACTGGGTGATGGACATTAAGGGGGGGCTCGTGATGTAATGAGTACTACGTATTATATAAGACTGGTGAGTCACTGGCTCTACCTCTGAAACCAGTAATACATTATATGTTAATTAATTGAATTTAAATAAAATTTTTAAAAAAGAAATCAGCGTGCCAAAGTATAAAAAAAAGAAAGGAATTGCAGTCTTGCAACCTGAAATATCAAGCAAATGTATATGTAGGCCTTGATGGCTGTCTTGACTACCACCTGGCTGACAAAGATTATAAGATGTCATCAATTTTAAGTTTTCAGAGGTGTTAGGAAAAAACATGCATCTTCAAATCAAAGAAATACAGTAGCTAAAAAAGTAAGCCCCTGTTCTAATAAAAAGTCTCAAATTACAATTCTAAGTACTTTAACTTTTAGGATAGCAAAGCTTTCAAGTCATCAGAGTGTCCATACACAGCAGATAATCAAGAAACATCCAGTGATTAACAACTGCAGAATTTGGTGAGCCTAAGTTGAAAGTATTACTCAGTACAGATTTTTCTTATGACCCAGATTTTTAAGGTAAATGTATTTAGTTAAATCTAGAAATTGATTAATGTTTAAAAATTAAAAATACTTTGGACTGGGAATCAGTATACCTGGATTCTTTTGTTGGCTCTACTAATAATTACCAGTGTGACATGTTAATTAACCATTTGAATTCTTTTAATCTGATTTTCCACATATGTTAAGTGAAATAATCTCTAAGAGTCTTTTTAGCTCTAAAACTCTATCATACTTTGAGCTATTCAGGAGGTTTAAATGATGTATAGTAAATCCACAGGATAATAGAGGCGGTATCTATTTATGACTCTATATGTGTTTGTTTATTGTCTGTTGGTTTAATGGTCAGAATTTTGTTTAGGGTGAAGTTAAAAGTTTGTTGTTTTTTGTCAGAAGTATTGCCTGACACAAAAAATTGTAATGTGACTTCAGTATTTTATATGTTTTTAAAATTGGGCAGTTTTAGCAGCTAACTTTGAACAATAAAAAAGAAATGTTTTTTCTTTTACATACTATCTTTCATCAGTGCTAATACATGCATTTTTTTTGCATTTTAACTTCTCTGAAATCAAGATGCTACTTAGATAGTATGTTATAGTTTGACAATGTTTTTTCTTCCTTAGTACTTCATAAAATAATAGTACATCTAGTAGCTAATAGTATTAGATTTCTGAGAGGAAACTTGATAACTTAATATGGCTATATAGACTTAGAGTCATAATGTTGCCCATTTGAATAGCTAATACATGTGATGATGACCTTTATATATCTATATCTCTCATATGGTATTCATCTTTGTCTGACTTATTTCACTTAGCATAGTGCCCTCAAGATCCATGCATGTTGTCACAAATAGTAAGATTTCATTCCTTTTTATGGCTGACTGATGTACCCTGAGAGTGTGTATATGTGTGTGTGTGTGTGTATCACAATTTCTTTATCCACTCATCCATCAGTGGACACTTAGATTGTTTCCATATCGTAGTTATTGCAAGTAATGCTGTAGCGGGTGCATAGGTGGCTCAGTCAGTTGGATGTTTGACTCTTGGTTTCAGCTCAGGTGGTTATCTCATGGGTTATGGGATCAAGCCCTGTGTTGGGCTCCGCCCTCAGCAGGAAATCTGCTTAGAGATTCTCTCCTTCCACTCCTCCCCAACTCGAGCATGGGAGTATACACATGTGTTCGTGCTCTCTCTCTCTCTCTCAAATAAATAAACCTTTAAAAATAATAATGCTGAGGTGAACATGGAGTGCATACGTCTTTTTGAATTAGTGTTTTTGCTTTCTTCAGGTAAATACCCAGAAGTGGAATTTCTGGATCATAGGGTATTTCTATTTTCAAATTTTTTAAGGAATCTCTATCCTGTTTTCCACAGTGGCTGCACCAATTTACATTCCCACCAACAGTGTACAAGGGTTCTCTTTCTCTACATCCTCACCAACACTTATAATTCCTTGTCCTTTTTTATAATAGCCATCCCAACAGGTGTGAGGTAATATCTCTTTGTGGTTTTAATTTGCATTTCCTTAATAATTAGCGATGTTAAGCATCTTTTCATGTACCCGTGGCCTTTTGTGTGTCTTTTTTGGGAAAAATGTCTATTCAAATCTTCAGCCCATTTTTTAACTGGATTACTATTGAGTCGTCTGTTCTTTATATATTTTGGATATTAACTCCTTCCTAAATACATGATTTGCAAATATTTTCTCCCATACAGTAGAGTCCTTTTCATTTTGTGGGTGTTTTCCTTCATTCCGCAGAAACTTTTTAATTTAATGTAGTCCCATTGTTTATTTTTTTCTTTGTTGCCTTTGCTTTTGGTATCAAACCCAGAAAAATCATCACCAAAACCATTGTCAAGTTGCTTACCGGCGTTTTCTTCTAGGAGTTTTATGGTTTCACGTCGTATGTTCAAGTCTTTAATCTACTTTGAGTTAATTTTTGTATATAGTGTAAGGCATCCAGTTTCATTCTTTTGCATGTAACTGTCTAGTTTTCCCAGCACTATTGAAGAGACTGTCCTTTCCCCATTGTATATTCTTGGCTCCTTAGTTGTAAACTAATTGACCATATATGTTTGGGTTTATTTCTGTGCCCTCTATTTTGTTCTGTTGTCTGTTTTTATGCCAGTACCATACTGTTTTGATTGCTATAGCTTTGTGATATAGTTTGAAATCAGGGAGCATGATGCCTCTGATTATTTTTATTATTTTTATTATTTTTATTTTTTTATTTTTTTATTTATTTATGATAGTCACACAGAGAGAGATAGAGAGGCAGAGACATAGGCAGAGGGAGAAGCAGGCTCCATGCACCAGAAGCCTGATGTGGGATTCAATCCCGGGTCTCCAGGATCGCGCCCTGGGCCAAAGGCAGGCGCTAAACCGCTGCACCACCCAGGGATCCCCTATTTTTATTTTTCTTCTTTTTTATGTATTGTCTAAAATTTTGGTAATAAATATGAATCACATTTACAATTAAAAAAAAAAGTTTGTTTCTATGTGCTCTTAAGACCAAAGCAGTCTTACACAGTCTTTCTGTGTAACTAACTAGGATCCCTAAACGTGGTGGACTCCTGAAATTTAGAGCCAGTGGGGTCTTAAGGATGTTATACTCTAATCACCAATTTTATTTTATTATTATTTTTTAATCACTAATTTTAGAGCTAGTGGGATTTTAAAAATGATCTCCCCTCATTTTAAACACGAGGCAATCGAGATTTTTTTTAAAATATAATAATAGTTAACATTTAATCTAGTGCTCAGGACATTACTCTATTTTACTTAATCTTTATCCATATGAGAATTGATCTATTTTTAGCCCCATTTTATAAATGAGAAAACTGAGGCTTAGGGAGATTGAGTAATTTGTCCACAATTAAGTGATGTATTTAGTATCAAGGTCTGTCTTACTCCAAGGTTTTTAAGTGTCATGTAATGGAATACAGTATAGCTTTTAAGTGACCCGTTCAATGTTACATTACTTACTGTTAGTGGAAGAAGGATTAACAGCCTGCTGTCTTGACTGCAAATTCAGTATTCATTTAATTAATCTGGTCTGGTTTTGAGAAAGTGTTGATTTGTAACCAGTTTAAATGAAGTGACCAATTCTATTCTATTATATCCTATCAACATGACAAAAAATCTATCATTATCACTTATATATTTCAATTATATCTATTAAGTGAAGAAGTTTTGTTTAATCCTCTTAAAACCTTGGGTGATGAAAATGTTCTGGAATTAGATAATGTTGATGGTTCACAACCCTGTGAATATAGTAAAAACCACTGAACTGTGGTTATGTATTGCCTAAAATTAAAAAAAAAAGTTTTTAAATAATTTTTTAAATTATTTTTTTTTATTTTTTTTCCTTGGTTAAGACTGCAGGAAAGAATTTAAAATAGTTATATTAAAATGTAAAAATCTTGATATCTGAAAATAATGTAACGATTTTTTTTTATATTTTACATTATACCAAATAAAGTAATATGCTTACTCTTTATTACCTCTTCCTTGACCATGAATGCTACTTAAAATTGAACCAAACCTATACAATGACAGAGAAGTAAAAGAAATTAAATAGAGTAATAGTAATAGCCATCTAAAGCCAGAAGTTGACTATTTTTGGAAGAAAAAAGGAATTTGAGCTATAAACATTGTGGATATTTGTGTTTTGAATTAATATTCTCATTTAAGAACTGATTTCCATTGATGGTCATTACCTATTATTACCTGAAAATATATTGTAAGATTACGAATTAATCCAAGAAAATACTCTTCCAATTCTGTTATTGTTAATTATTTTGTTGTAAGGTAAGTGAGCAATGGAGAAAACCAATTTTATTTTTTTAAACAAAATATGATAGTTTTGAATTTTCTATAAATGTTAATTGTTAAGTATTTAAAGGATTATTGTCACAGATTTCAGTATCTTTCAACATACCAATTTGGAAGACACCTTGTTATCAGTCCTATAAGACTATAAGAAATAAAATTTTTAAAAAATGTCCTTGCCCGGTTATACTGTGATTAGCAAATATGAAGAATGTATATAATATATATTATGCTTTATGGGAATATATTCTAGTAAAAATGGAATTTAAATGTAATCCAGTTTTAAGTAGTAAAGATATATTTCCTATATGTCAAGATTTTCTACAGTTTCTAGTCAGCACTAATATTTTCTTTAAGTAATCTCATAAAACTACAGTCTTATTCCTGATCTCTATTATTTTGACAAATAATAAAACCATTGATTAGTTTATAAATATAGATTATATGTTTTTATTTTTTGAGTTCCTAATTCTATATTTTTGCTTTTAAGCATCGAATGTTATCAAGACAAGAAGAACTTAAAGAAAGAGCAAGAGTTCTGCTTGAGCAAGCAAGAAGAGATGCAGCTTTAAAAGCAGGAAATAAACAGAATCCCAATGCAGCCACACCACTCTGCAACAGGCAGCTAAGTGATGTGAGGAACATTGGTTAAAAGGCTATAAAATTATTGAAATCATGGGAGTGAGGGGAGTAATTATACTTCTGCTAAGGCATTTTTTTTTAAGTTTTTAATTCTAGTTAACGTACAGTGTTAGATTAGTTCAGGTTTACAATATAGTGATTCAACAACTCTGTCCATCACCCAGTGCACATCATGACAAGTGCCTTTCTTAATCCCTGTCACCTGCTTCACCCATATCCCCACCCATATCCCCCTCCTGGAAACCATCAGTTTGTTCTTGCTAAATCATTTTTTCACTGACTTTTTATATGGGGAAGATACTTGGTACATTTATTGAATTGACAAATTCATACTTGGAAGAACATGTTATAATTATTCCTATACAGCAGTGTTAGCTATAAGGAAAAGTAAGTTTTTGGAATATAATTTCTGTATATCATGAATAATCTATTTTTGTAATTTAATTGTGCTTTAAGATTGTATTTTATTTTATCTATGGTTTTATAATGGCTGTTTTACATATATATATATATATATATATATATTTTTTTTTTTTTTTTTTTTTTTTTTACCTAATCCCATGAAGTAGATGTTCATCTACTTTCCAGATGAGAAAACTGAGGCTGATAGATATGGTAATTTGTACAAAGTTGCAGAGTTAGTTAATGATAAATCCAGTATTTGAATTTGAGCCTTCTCAGACTAGAATCAGTGTTCTTTTCTATCATATACTGTTATCTCTATGTTAAACCACTTTTTAATACATATTTTTTGTGTAGTGCTTCACAAATAATAATGAATGTATGATAGTAGAAGCCCTTAAATTTAAGGGGACAGGAAACTTCATGAATCTGAAAACTGTGACATCCTACCTTACTGTCAAACTCACATATACAAAACTGCATGCCCTTTTTTTTTTAATTAAGATTTTATCTTCTTTTTTTTTTTTTTCAGAGCAGTTTTAGGTTCACAGCAGAATTGAGGGGAAGGTGCAGAGATTTCCTATATACACCCTGCACCTACACATGCAGGGCTTCTCCTCTTAACAGCATCCCACACAGTGATATATTTGTTACAACTGATAAACCTACACTGACACATCATAATCACCCAAAATCCACAGCTTATATTATGGTTGCCTCTTGGTGTTGTACATTCTAAGAGTTTGGACAAATTTATATTGGTATGTATCCATCAATATGGTATCATAGAGTATTTTCACTGCCCTAAGAATTTTCTTTTGCACTTGTTCATCCCTTCCACCACTCCCAAACTCTGGAAACCTGATTATTTTACTGTCTCCATAATTTTTCCTTTTTCAGAATGTCATATAGTTGGAATCATATAGTATATAGCCCTTTCTGAATGGCTTCCTTCACCTAGTAATATGCATTTAAGGTTCTTCCATGTTTTTGACAGGTAGAAAGATCATTCCTTTTTAGTGCTGGATAATATCCCATTGTCTGGATGTACTACAGTTTATTTATCCATTCACCATTTATTATTCACCATTCACCTGGACATCTTGATTTCTTCTAATTTTTGGCAGTTAGGAATAAAGTTGTTATAATCATCCATGTGTAGGCTTTTGTGTGGACATAAGTTTTTAACTCCTTTGGGTAATTAACCAAGAAACATGATTGCTAGATCTTATGGTAAGAGTGGCAGTTTTTTACAAAAGTAAATACAAACTATGCTCCAAAATTGCTGTCCCATCTTGATTCCCACCAGCAGGTAAGAATTCTTGTGGTGCTCTACATCTTCATCAACATTGAGTATTGTCAGTGTTCCAGGTTTTGGCCATTCTAAAAGGTGTTTACTGGTATCTCATTGTTTTAATTTACATTTCCCGGATGACATATGATTTGGAGCATCTTTTCATATGTGTATGTGCAATATGTAGATCTTCCTTTGGAGAGGTTTTTAACCAGGTTGTTAGTTTTTTTTATTGTTGAGTTTCAACAGTTCTTTGTGTATTTTAGGTATAATCTTTTATCAGATATGTCTGTTGCAAATTGAGTGTTCCTACTTATGAACATAGAATCTCTCTTCATTTATTTAGTTATTCCTTGATTTCCTTATATTCCTCATATAGATCTTGTATATATTTTGTTAGATTTCACTAATGTGAATAGCGTTTTGTTTTTAATTTCAAATTCCACAGGTTCACTGCTGGTATATAGGAAAGCAATTCTCTTTTGTATATTAACCTTGTATCCTACAGCCTTGCTATAATTGCATATTAGTTCCAGTAGAGTTCTTTTTTTTTTTTTTTTTCCAATTCTTTCAGAGTTTCTACATAGGTAATCATGTCATCTGTGATCAGGTACTTTTATTTCTTCCTTTCCATGCATTTGTTTAAACATACCTTTCAGATAAGAGCTTAATAACCTCTGACCATGGGATCCCTGGGTGGCGCAGCAGTTTAGCGCCTGCCTTTGGCCCAGGGCGCGATCCTGGAGACCCGGGATCGAATCCCACGTCGGGCTCCCGGTGCATGGAGCCTGCTTCTCCCTCTGCCTGTGTCTCTGCCTCTCTCTCTCTGTGACTATCATAATAAATAAATAAATAAATAAATAAATAAATAAATAAATAGATAAATAAATAAATAAATAAATAAATAAAAAATAACCTCTGACTTTGATCAGTGTTTTTTACACTTTAAGTGTTTATATAATTGATATAAAATCAGTTTAGTGGGCTGCAGTAATTATTTTTAATGAAAAGGAATATATAATAGAATAAAAGTCTCAGAATGCATCACATGTAGTAAGCATAGTATTTTTGTCTGAAAATTCCTTTAGGTATGTGGGTAAATGTGCTTATTCAGTCTTGATAAAAAATGTATTTTTAAACTGTTGGTTGTGATAAAAATGAGAAGGCTAAATCTAGCAGGCCATCTTTAAGTTTTGTAGCCTCTATCCCAACTCTTTCAGTACCTAATTATCTGTTATATCATTAATTTGTTGGTCATTCATCAGATATTCATTGAGTGTCTGAACTGAGTGTATTCATAGTGACAGAAAAGACTGAGCTTCTTCCATCATGGAGTTTACATTATGGTGGGAAGACACACATAATAATAAAGTACTAGAGTGTGAAAACTATGTGGTATACTATAAGATAATTTAAATAAGTGAGGGCTTAAGTGATCTGAGGAGCAGCCATTTGAACTAAGATTTGATGGGTGAAAGGGATCCAGTGAAGTGAAGAACCACAGAAAGAAATATCTCTTTAAGAAAAGTTATTTGGGGAGTACCTGGATCGCTAAGTCAGTTGAGTGTCACAGTCTTGATATCATCAGAGGTCATGATCTCAGGGTCATGAAATCGAGCCCCACAACACGCACCATGCTAGATGTGGAGCCTTTAAAATTCTCTCTCCCACTCTCTTAAAAAAAAGTTATTTTTGTTGATACTATATTTTGTTTTTGATACACCTTGTTTCATAGTTATTTCAGGCTGTAAAAATTAGAGAGAATGTATAGCTCTATGTTTTTCCATTGTGTTGATTTTGAATTCAGAATACTTGAGGTTTTTTTTTTTTTAACATTTTATTTATTTATTCATGAGAGACACAGAGAGAGAGGCAGAGACCCAGGCAGAGGGAGAAGGAGGCTCCATGCAGGGAGCCTGATGTGGGACTCCATCCCGGGACGCCAGGATCACGCCCTGGGCTGAAGGCAGATGCTCAACTGCTGAGCCACTCAGATGTCCCAGAATACCTGAGATTTAAATGATTTGCCAAGTAGATCTTTAAAACAAGTTACTTTACCTATGCGTAAATTTTACATACATAAATAATTATCATTGAATGTTTATCGACCACTTACTATTTGTCAAGCAGGATTCTAAGTGATTTAACATGGATTTTCTCATTTAATCTCCACAACATTGTATGAGCTATTATCATCCCTATTTTACAGTTGAGAAAACTGACAAATTAACGAATTGCCCTATGGTCACACAGCTAATAAGTTACAGAGCCAAGAATTGACACCTAAACAATTTGATTTCAGAGATTTTGTTTTTAAAGCATTGTGTTATATTTCCTTCTTTTTTTATTTTACTGACATCCTTGTGAAATAGAAATAGATACTAATTTTTTTATCTTTTATAGAGACTAAGAAAATGAGTTAGGAAAAAATTTTTAAATTTACCTGGAGTTGCAGACAGTGATAAATGAGGCTTAGAATTCAAGTATCCCAACTTTTTAAGAAGATGATAATTGAATTTTTCATTTGGTTTATTCATTTATTACTTCAGACTTTCAACATATATTTTATTGGTCGTCCTTCTGTTGAAGGCACCAGTAATTTATATTCTTTATTTTTCAAATAAAACTTAAACTTTTATCTAAATTATATTAGTGTGAATTCAGTATCAGAAGTTACTTACTAAAACATCTCTTTATTTTTTAATATTTTATTTTTAAGTAATCTCTACACCCAACCTGGGGCTCCAACTCACAACCCTGAGATTGAGTCGCATACTCTGTTGACTGAACCAGACAGGCACCCCAAAACATTTCTTATTCTATGTTGTGACATCTTACATCTGTAAAATATATAACTTGGATCTTAAGAAACATGACGCTGGTGACGTTTTATTGATGACTCTTTCATACTGCTGGTCGCATGTAACTTGCCACACCTTTCTAGAAAGCAATTAGACTTCATCAAGAAATGTTCATTTCCCAGGACGCCCAGGTAGCTCACTGATTTAGTGCCTGCCTTAGGCCCAGGATGTGATCCTGGAGTCCTCGGATCGAGTCCCGCATCAGGCTCCCCACATGGAGCCTGCTTCTCCCTCTGCCTGTGTCTCTGCCTCTCTCTATGTCTCTCATGAATAAATAAATAAAATCTTTAAAAAAAAAAAGTTCATTTCCCTATGCAGGTGTTTATCACAATGTTACCTGTAATAGCAAAAACTACAAAATGGTAATTGTGCGAAATAGGGGAATGATCAAATAAATTGTAACAAATAAATGTACTTGTTATGTAGCCATTAAAA